AGGATGCAAAGAATTGTAGACAAAAATAATGGCAGGAGATTCTTTCAATATTCTTGCCCATTGTAAATGTAAGAGTCAAGTGGAAAATTTGTTTTCGTTTTAAATTGATATCTCAGTGCATTTTGTCTTTGATAAGTTTTTCACAAATTATCCCTATTTTAATTATATACATTAAAGAGAGCTTTCATTTGCGAGGTAGTAGTTAATAGAAATAATTAACTTTATCAATTTGTTTAATCTCCACCATTTATTTATGGTTAAAGTATATATTTGATCTTTTAACTTTGTACAAGGTTTGGATTTGGTCCTTTAACTTTAAAAAGCACACATTTGGTCTTTTAACCCTAAAATTATTAAGCTTTAATGATGATCTTTTGTAATAATTATGGATGTTTTAAAAATTAAACTTAGTATGTTAGTATTTGAGAATATTTTATCAATATTTAAGATCTTAATGTTATCATTTCTTAAAAAATTTTTAGGGTTGAAGGATTAAAAGTATACTTTTTAAAGTTAAGATACCAAATTAAAACCTTGTGTAAAGTTAAAAGACCAAATGTATACTTTAGCCTTTATTTATTTGTGATAAAAAGGCGTCATTCTCCTACCAAATGATTATAGACTTTTAAATTTTGAGGATATTTTTTCGAACGAAAAAGATAAGAGGCCTTTAAAAGGGTGGATACGAATGATTTCCTATTAGCCAAACGTAAAATAACGTTAATTACATAAAATAATTAATTTTTAAATATTAAATTCAAATTTAAAATTTTTCACTATGATGGAATATTGAATAGTGATTAAAACCAAAAAAAGAAATACTGCCTCCTTAATATAGAGACTAATTAGGGAGTTGATGTTGGTATTATATATAAGATATATTTCATATGTTTATTAATTTTTTTTAAATTAGCCCAATTGATATTTTTCAAATAATAATCAAATAGGAGAGAGAGGGAGAAAGGGAATTAAAAAAAAATGCTCAGGGTATTTTAGAAAAAAACTTATCATATTAACTAATTTAATCAATATTCTTAGTGTTTATGGAGCCAGTCAGAGAAAGCATTGGGCGAGGCTGTTTCTTCACCAGAAATGGGCGATCATCTTCTTCAAGCGCCATGCTCAACAAGAGAAATGGAGGCTGTCATTGCTTATAACGCTGGAAATGGTTCGTGCACCACAATATTTTCCATAATGGTGGACCTTTGGAGAAGCAATTAGTAAGACGTTAATAATAGTATTAAAAGATTAATGAAGGAGTGAACATCTTCGCCGTTGTAGTGTTAACTATTTCCGCCTGTCACGCGGACGGCCTGCGTTCGATGGCGGCCAGCGGCGATTTTTGTCTGCTTTGAACTCCTGGCCCCCCAGGTTCGAAGGTAATATTGTGTCATTTTCAGAATGGGCAAATAAATAATATTTTCAGTTTGGTTCGCTTTGTTTTACTTATTTATACAAGTGTGGTTTATGCGCGGATCAAATTTTATTGAATTACTTTATTTTCTACCAAAAAGTAGTAATACTACTGCCCCATCCTTTTTATAAGATTTTGCATAGAAGTGTTTGAACATTAAATTTATTTTTACTAATTTTGCTTTTGATTAACTTTTTATTTTCTTTCCTCATCTTTTTTTCATACTACATTCTTTTTCATTGTTTATTTTATTATTAGCATTTTTCCTTCTTATTTGTTTTCTTATTAAAAATCGATATACTTGGGGAAAAAAAAAGGGTTCAGCTTTCATATGTTTATTGCTTTTAACTATTTTTCCAAGTAACGTAACTTAGTTAAAATGATGTCATAAATACTGGAGGAAGTAATATTTAAACCAGTTTGGGTTTTTTTTTTTGGCAGATTATTCATAGTAAGATGGAGTAAATACATATGAGACTAAACTTGTTAATGCATATATATAGCGCACAATGCTCATGGAATACATGATTTGATATATGTGAAATGGAAGAACATAAATTAAAGTATACAAGAATATATGTCACATCTTCTCTTGGAGCAACTGAATATCTTTTGTGTGCAATCTATTTTCCTTTTTGTGCAAGTTATTATCCTTATGTGCAAACTAGTCTCTTGTACCCAAATAGTATTTAATTTTGTACAAACCATCTTCCCTATGTATAACTCAACTTCACTTATGTGCAACTTATCTTCCTTTGTGCAACCCATCATCCCCGGAAACATTTGTCAATTAATTTTCTATGATTTATTCCTAATATTTCCTTAATTCAAATGGTTTGATTTTCCTTTTTATAAAAATATCCCTATTTAACAACCGCCATTATGGCCTACCTTTTATCATGTGTGCCTTTACTTATAAAGGATGCCTCATCTGTTAGATACCATAGCCTTCGCCTATTCATAGCACCTTCCAACTTTTGTCATGGCATTTCGAATTGTCATCTGTTTTTGCTTGTTTTTTCTTTATCCTTCCCCTTCTTTTTTCAACCCCCTATTTTGTAATTCTCACGATTCCTTCACCCTTCTCGAATTCAAAAACTCTTTTTTGATCAATATGCTTCAATACTATAACTTTGTTATTGGTGAATCAAATTATTCACAAAACTCATCTTACCCACAGACAACTTCAACGGGGATGATTCAGATTGCTGCTTGTGGGATGGGATCACATGCGACTCCATGTCTGGTCATGTGATTGGTCTCGACCTCAGCTACAGTTGGCTTCAAGGTCAACTTCATCTTAATAGCGCTCTTTTTCAGCTTTCTCATCTTCAAACACTCGATTTGGCTTTCAATGATTTTCGTGGGTCTTTGATATCACCTCAATTTGGAAATTTTCCTACTCTCATTTTGCCGGTGAAATTCCTCCTAAAATTGTAAAACTGTCTAAATTGGTCTCTCTTGATTTGTCTCATAATGGATTTTACTTATTTGAGAAGTGGAGTCCTTTGAGACTTGAAGCATCCACATCGGAGAAACTTGTTCAAAACATGATTGATCTACACGTACTTGTTTTAGATGAAGTATATATGTCTTCCACTACATCAAATTCCTTGTCTTTACCCATGAATTTGTCATCCTCTTTGGTCTCCCTGAGTTGCAAGGAAATTTGGTTAATAACATTTTTCATTTACAAAATTTTCAAGAGTTAGATTTGTCGTGGAATGAGAATCTCATAAGTCAACTTCCAAAGTCCATAGGCCATTTGAAGTCTCCCAGTCTCTTGAGTCTTCGGCACTTCCAATTTAATGGGCCTATTTCTGCAAGTTTTGAGAACATAACTCAGTCAATTGTTTTGGACCGTGCATCAAACAATTTTAGTAGTGAGTTACCTGATATATTTGAAAATCTTTCAAATTTAGAATTGCTTGATTTCTCTGACAACAAGCTACAAGGTAATTGTCCTCAATCAATTTTTAGTCTCATAAATCTTTCTCTTTGAGTTTACCATCAAATTACCTGCTCGGTTAGTCTTGATCAATTTTCAAAGCCTAAAAATCTAGCATACCTTGATATTTCTAACAAGTTTCTCTCACTTGACTTTGACAATATCACTCATTATACCATACCCAATCTTGAAAGTTTATTGTTATCCTCTTGTAACATCCATGACTGTCCAAAACTATTAGGAAACCTTCAAAATTTGAAGTTTTTAAATCTTTCCAATAACAAAATTCGTGGACATATTCCCAACTGGTTCAATAATGTGGGGAATGATTCTTTGTTCTATTTGGATCCTTCCCATAATAACTTGACATCAGTGGAACATCTTTCAATGAGAAACTTGAGCTTTCTTTATCTCAGCTTCAACTTGTTACAAGGAAATCTCCCAATTCCATCTTTGTAGTATCCAACAACAAATTCAGTGGAGACATTTCTTCCTCATTATGCAATGCAAGCTCACTTGAGATTCTCAACTTATCTCACAACTTCTTTTCCGGCCACATCTCGAATTGCCTTGTTGCATTACTAGATCTTGAGACTTTAGATCTGGAAATGAACAATTTTGTTGGAGCTATACCAGACCATTTTTTCTGGGAGCAACTCCTTGCAATCTTTGCATTTGAACAACAATCAATTTGAGGGATGGTTGCCTTTGTCTTTGATCTATTGCAAGAAAGTAAATATTTTAGATGTGGGAGCAAACAATATTGAAGATGAATTTCCTAATGTTACCAAAACTACAAGTACTCAATTTAAGAGATAATTGTTGGCGGGAATGGTTCTCTGAAGAGTATAAGAAGAAGATATGAAGAAAGTGGTGCACTATGTCTTCATGGCGTGGATAGCACTTTCCTTTAGGTTTAATTCGCCCCCACCTATTCCTATCTTTTAGGGTGCAAGTTGGGTTGACCGGTGAATTTCCTTTAGGATACAATGAAGACCCTTGAATATGGATTGCACTTTCAAAATTCAAGCAAAGACAACAATGGTTTTTACAAAGTGATAATTTGACTCTATCTCTGCGTGCACTCAAAAACAAAGGCAATGAGTTTAATCGTAGTGATTGTGTTGTATATCTTTCCAAATGAAGTGATGGTGAAGGGTTTATATAGAGCATGAAATGATGCCTTGAAGAGATACCTTTTAGAATAAAAACTTACTAAATAAAAAGTCACAACCATATGTTGGTTCATGAACCAACATAATTTAAATAAATACAATGAATTTAGTATGTAGGTTCATTTAATGTTTTAACTTCCTACATGACCTTTTGTTAAATACAATGTATTTAGTATGTAGGTTCATTTAATATTGCAACTTCCTACATAACCCTTCATATAAATATATTAATTTATATAAGGACATGACTTTTCTAAAAAAACACATCTCTTCATTTTAAAAATATTCCAACAATAATAAGTTCTATGACACTGTTTGCAGTTCGAACATCAAACATCCATGTCCTATGTTAAGAATTTTTTATGTTTCCAACAACCATTTTGGTGGAGCTTTGCCAATTGCATACACCACGAAATTTAAGGGAATCATGTGAAAAGATCACCTTGCAGTTGGTTTGAATTACATGGAAAATAAGCATAATGGTGTTTCATATAGAGAATCAGTGATGGTCACAATAAAGGGTAATGAGGTTGAGCCTGAAAGGATCTTAACTATATTCACAGCCATTGACTTGTCAAATAACATGTTTGATGGAGAGATTTCACATGTTATTGGTGAGCTACATTTGTTAAAAGGGCTAAACCTGTCCCATAATAAAATTACTGGTCCTATTCCTCAATCCATTGCAAATTTGACATATCTAGAATGGTTAGATTTATCATCAAATAGGCTTACAGGTGGGATTCCTCTTGCACTGACAAATCTCAACTTCTTTGAAGTTCTGAATCTTTCACAGAATCAACTTGTTGGAGAAATACCTAGAGGTAAGCAATTTGATGCATTTTCACAAAATTGCTTTGAAGGAAATTTAGGACTGTGGATTTCAATTGTCAAAAGCATGTAATCATGATGAAGGGAAATTGCCACAAGCAACTTCATCAACTAATGACAAATTTGGATTTCGTTGGAAACCAATGGCTTTGGGATATGGATGTGGAATGATGTTTGGAATACTCATGGGTCAAGTTGTTTTCTCAGCTGGAAAACGAGAAGGGTTTGTCAGAATTTTTCAAGTTAGACCTAAGAAGCAAGCAAAAAGAACAAGGAAAACAACTCATCCAAATCAAAGAAAAGCGACTTCGGCACAAAATGTGACTTCATGCGATATTCTGTCATCTCTTTTTCTTCCATGTTCCCTATATGGTTATAAAAACCTAAAATCTTTTAATAGAACTTTAAATTCTTGAAATGTTAAATGGTTATACTTATTCATGGTCGAAGTTAACTCTCATTTAGTTGGACTTTCAACTTCCTTCTTTCTATGGACATTGAATTCTATCTTGGTTGAGGATCTGTAATTTGTTCAAAAAGAATTATTTTTAACTATTAATTGCCAAATAACAAAAGTTGGTGACATGTCGGCTAACTGGGAAAAAACTTTCTAATATTTGTGGGTATTTTTACTCACATGCTAAAAAAGCAGAGAGCGTGCAGATGATGACAAATCTCATTAAAAAAAGAGTTACATTAAAATTAAAAATACAGCACATTTTAATTATTAACTGGATATTTAAGAGACATGAAACGAATCACTTTCTTCCTAAAAACTTTGTGATCATTATCAATTAACACTCCAAATTTTCTTACCTAGGATAAACAGAAAAGAGGAAATCTATTTAAATTATTTAAAGCCTAAATAGACTGAAAAAATTATGCAATATTAAATTTGAGAACTTAGAAATATTTTGAAAAAATTCATGTCCCAAACATGGCTCAAATAATTTTAAAAGCAAAAATAGGCTATTTTCCTAAAAAATTCATAGTTAGAGGTTTATATTTGAGCTGAAAATCTTAGAATAATTATATGATGTGGAGAAGATGATAAATGAGAGATGAAATTCTTATAATGTGTTAAGGATTAATTTATGAAATTAAGCGCTATTTTCTTGCAAAATTAAAGAAAAATAGTTGGAAATTGATTTTTGACCCAAACTTCTTACGAAAATTATTTTAGGAGTCAAGGAAGCTATTGGATAAGGTAAAACCATATAAAGTATTTTACAATTACAGAAAAATAGAAAAAGGATGAAAGTGAAGACAAAAACTTTTTAAAGGGTAGAATGGTCATTTCGATCCTTCCTAGCAGATTTAAACCAGCAGCGCCTTCTCTCTTATTCATTTTGCGACTGAAATCACACACGGAGAGAGAGAGAGAGAGAGATGAGAGGCACCGAGGAGAAGCGAAGAAGGAGAAGAGAGTGATTGGAGGTCGATTTATTATATGGAAACTGATTAATCAAGCAAGGTGAGCCTCCTAATCCCTCTCCCATGGTTGTTTTCCGGTTTTGGTGGCTAAATAGGAAGTTGATTATGAAAGAAGTTTGGGTTCAGTGAGAGAAATTGAGGGAAACGGATGAAACAAGTTAGGAGGGGCGAAGATTAAAGCTTGTACGATTAAAATGTGGTGTTGCATCTTGATAAATCTGGCTGCATGTGGATTTTCTTGCTCTGTTTTGTTAATGGCCGAACAGGGGTTGATGGTTTCTGCAAGCTTTGGCTTCGGATTTCTTGTCCATTTGGGAGGCAAGAGTTGGCTTTGTGATTGCATGATGTTGGTTCTGGTTTTGTAAATGGGAGAGCGTATTTATGTGTGTGCGTATATGTATATATATATATAAATGATAACTCGTGTTTGAATTTGGATCTGAAACTAGATTAGAGAGAGATGTACATACACATGCTTATGTTTGTGTGTGTATGCCGTGAGGAGTGAGTTTGGAAGCTAAAATCAGATTGGAACTGAAAAGTGATACATACATATATATATATAGAGAGAGAGAGACACACACACACACAGTTAAATGGTTTCGAGTTATGGAAGTAGAGAGGATTTAGTTTGATGGAATTATTTAATTTTAATGCTTGTAGACGCGAGAATTGGGAGAAATATTGAATCTGGAATTTTGGCTAAAAATGAAGAAGAGAAATTGAAATGGGACCTTTGGGCCTGAATGGTTTCGATTTATGATGCTTAAGATAGCATTTTAAAATCTGAAAAATTTCATATTCAAGGGAAGTTGTTAGTCGAAAATTTAATAGAAAGTGAAGTAAATACTGGCCACACATGAGAAACAACAAAGAACGGTGGAATAGGAACTGTGATGTTTGTTTCATGGCTTTCATGTTAGGGATGGTGAAGAAAAAGTATTGGCTGAACCTAAAGCTCCCTGTTTCAATGGGTATAGCGTTGGGTTTTCTGATGAAAATGTTAAAGATAGTATAAATATTTAACAGTGTGTAATATAGATGGATCATGACTGTGTAGATGGCTATCGGATGATTACATGTTGAGTTTTGAATTTTTGGAGAATATTTTCAAATCTGAAAAATTCCAGATTAAATGGACGATGCTGTTCAAACTTTGTGAAGAAGCGAGAGTGCTGGTAGGAGAATGGTATGATGCAAGTGATGTTTAGATATATGAAGATTAGGTGGTGCTGTGTGATATTTTGGAGGATGATTTTGACTCTGTTATACTATCCGAAAATTGTAACTTTCTATTTCAGGGGGATTTCATTTGGCTTTTATTATGGGGATGGTATAACTGTACCTTAAATTTTAGAACCTTCGATTGTTGTTGTCTAGGACATTTTGAAAGATAAAAGCTGAAATTTTGAGTGGAATTGAGGGGAGCTTTAGAGATTGAATGATGAAGGTTAGAATTAAATTTAGTAGATGTTTGGTGGCCAAAGAAGATAAATTAGGAAAATATGATAAGATAAATTGTTGATGTTCCAAAGTGTTGTATTGAAAGTTATTTTAGAACTTACAAGAAGAATAGTTTGAATTAATGTGGATGACTAAGGGTGTGTTTGGATGAAACCAAACCGTGGTTTGAAAAAGTGATTCTGGAGAATAGATTCTGGAAAAAATAGATTCTGTGAAGAATAGATTTTGTAAAAAAGTGATTCTGAGAAGTGAGAGTGTTTGGATAGTTGTTATCAGAAGCACTTTTTATATATACAAATTACTAAAAAAAAGACATAAGTTAATATGATAATTACAGAAAAAATAGATTTTATGATATATTTTAATTTGAAGAAATAAAATTGTTAATAATATGTTTTTTACCAACATAATTGATAATACATAAGATAATATAATTAATAAATAATTAATGTCTATATATATTTATAAAATATAAGATTAAATATATTTATAAAAAAATATGTTTATAAAAAAAATAACAAGATACATATCATATAGGCCCTCACACTCTCCCTTTTTTCTCCAAAAGCAAAAAATTTTGCTTTTTTTCAAAACCATGGTTTTGGAGTCAAAACCATGGTTTTGACCCAAAACCATGGTTTTGGTTTTTGGAGAGGCTGTTTGGGTAGCATTTTCCCCAAACCATGGTTTGGGTCCCCAAACCATGATTTGGGGTGCTATCCAAACAGAGCCTAAAAGTGTGTTTGAGGATTCAAAGGTGAAAGACGGATTAATAGTTATGGAGTTGAAAAATGATAAACATTAAGTTAATTGTGAATAAAAGTTAAGATAGCTCATTGAATTACTACCTCCGGTCTTAATTATAAGAGCTAGTTGACTAATTTAAAGAGATTAAGGAAAAAAGTTAAGTTAGTTATTTGTAATAAATATGTATTGTCTTCCCTAAAATATCCTTACTAATTAAGTATATTGGATAAAACTACTATTATTAGAAAGACTACCTTAGAAAAAAAAACATAAATATGAGAGACAAAATAGATTGAAGTCTTATATTTAGGATCAAAATAAAAGTCCAAACAAGATCTTATATTAAAAACCGAAGGTAGTATTTTGGAAGAAAGATTAAGTTACTTAGGACTCTTAGAAATTGCGCTAGCTTGGAAATGAGATAAAATAAGTTGATGCAATTATATATACAATTGTTTGTATGTCTCAGCCATGTGTGCAAAATTGGTGAAGTTGGATTTTAATTAATTTTATTTCAATGGGATTAGATAATTGAGAAATGAAGGGCATCTTGTTTGTCCTTAAATGTGATATATAAAAATAATATTTTTGATTAACATGACCAGTTATTAAGTAAAGTAACAGTATAGATTAAGATAAGGGAGAAAACCCTCCAAAGAGGATAGTTTGAACTCCAGCATGATTAACTACTAAGTAAAGGTAAAAATTGTAACATCCCAAATTTTTTGACTTAAAGAAAAATAGAAAAAAGAAAATTTATTTAAATTATTTTAGAGCCTAAATAAAATGGGGGAAATTATAGAATATTAACTTTGAGGGCCTAAAAATTTTATGGAAGAGTTTATTTCCCCAAAAATGGCTTAAATAATTTCAAAGTTAATTTTTTCAGCAGAAATGACCCATTTTCCTAGAAATTTTTTTAAAAAAAATACTTAGATGTTTCTAATTAATTTGGAAATTTTAGGAGAATTATTTTAAGTGATAAGAAAGTTATTTGAGGCATAAATCCCTTAAAATGAGTTAAGAATTAATTTCTAGAATTAAGGGCTATTTTCTTAAAAAATTCATATAAAATAGTTAGGAGTTGACTTTTGATCCGAAATTTTTAGAGAAATTATTTTATGGGGCCAAAGAAGCTAATGGATATTATAAATCCATATAAAATATTATGGATTAATTTTTGGGCTTACCTTATGTTTCGGGAAAATAGGAGGAAGGGTGGAAATGGAAGAAAGGAAAGAGCTGAAGAGCAAAATGGTAAATCCATGCTCACATGAGACCCACGTGCGGTGTGCCACACAATCCATTTAGCTTTAGAAATTTTTCTCCCCACCTCATTTGCAACCTGAACGGGAAGAAAGAAGAGAGAGAGAGCGAGAGAAAACAGAGCGACAGCGGAGAAAGTGAGCTCGCCGGGAGTGGTGATCGAAGGAGCTATACTTGTATGCAATCGTGATTTCCAGCTAAGGTGAGCCTCATTTACCTATATTTCTATATAAAATTACTTGCTCTATGTAAATACTATAACTTTTGTATCCTTTATGCGTAGGGGAGCTCTGCGAGGCGCAAGTAAGAGCCATCAACTGGGATGGCTGATACAATATAGCATAATATAATATTATAGAATTACATGGTCTGAAATCCTTATAGATGAAACGAATATAAGTTAGGATAGAGCCTGTTGTGGATCGATCACTTGTCAGTTATTTTGAAAGTTTAAATTATTTAGACAACTAATTCTAATGTTACTTTCAGGTTCAACTCTTGTATTGGAATTATGTCTTCGAATGGTTCATGTTTTAAATAAAAAATTTTTTTACCCCATTTGACTAATGTAAGAAACCTGTCGTTAGTGATTCACAAACATTAAAATAACTTTATTAGTATGTAGAAGGTTAGATATTGCGCATGGTTTCTCAAAATAATGGTGCAAATAGGAATTTAAAAGAAGCGATATAATTTTATTACAAATTTTAAAGCATTTTGGCCCATCAACGATTTATGTGACACTTTTTTTCCTAAATAAATAAATAAATTCTTTTTTAAGACTGGTTTTTTTCTATGACAGTTTTATTGGACATCATTAAAATGCCATAAAAAATAAGGGTCAATGAAATATTGCAAATGTGAAGTAGGAAAAAGAAAAAAAAGTCAAATTAGTACTTCAATCTACCAATTTTTCCAAAAATAAAATAATTTTCAAGTATTTATTTATATCTTAGTTCATTCATATTTTTCTTACTTTCCTCCTAGTTATTGAGTCATTCAAAAAGGAGTTATATCGTTATGGATAATAACACATGATGACCCTAATAAACAAGTATCCCAAAGATCTTTAATGTCATCAATGTCAATATTTAATAAATATAAATCCATACTAAGTTATAATGCTGACAAGTTGTCAATTAAGCACATATTAGATATAAAACAATTGAAAAATTGAAATAGATATAAAATATGAAAATATTAAATCTTAAACTATATATTATGAATATTATATTAGCTAATGTCAATAAACCCTAAATCTGAGGATTAAGACAAGCTATATAACATCTATAATAAATGATTTCGGGGGAGTTTCTCATTATTAATGTCATTATGGTTTTTTTTTTAATTTCTTTATAAGCCCTAATATAGGACTTCAATATTCAGAAGCCTATAAATAGATATCATAGATAAGACATTTGTATCATAAAACAAAATGAATAATAAAAAAAAAAAAAGACCATTGTCTTCTCTACCTTATTTTTTCTTCTACTCCCTAGTTATCTCATTTTCTCTCTCATGTTATAACAATGTACTTCTCCGGTCCTTATTATAAGACCCTATTTGACTTTTTATTTGGTTCTAATTATAAGACCCCAATCCATTTTGTCTCTTATATTTATACATTTTTTTTCAAGATAATCCTTCTAATAATGATAGTTTTAGCCAATATATTTAATTAGCAAGGATATTTTAGGAATGACAACACTTATTTATTATAAATAACCAACTTAACTTACTTCCTTAATCTCCTCAAATAAGTCAATTGGGTCTTATAATTAGGACCAGAGGAGTATAAATTATTAGATTTGAACAGATAAAAAAAAAAAGCATTATGTGCCCCACTTCACCAAACCCTAGTCTTCTCATGAGCGTACCATACGTTTTT